GTGTTGAAAATCAAATCATTTGACTAAGGCATTCCACAAGGAGGTTGATAACTAATTTAGAACATAATTAGATGAGAGTAAATGCACGAAAACATGAAGAAAGTATTTTACATTGAATTTAAATGAATAAATAAGCCGTACAAGAAGTTCTAGCTTGACCCTCTTCTCTCTTTAGCGTGAGGGGAGTTGAAACTCGCTAAAGAACTTTAAAGGAACAAAATGAACAAAGAACGGAAGTAAGAAACTGAATTAAAGGCAATACGAAAGGTAAAAGCATGAAAAATGAAGAAATGAACAACTAGAACATGAACATAAACCCTAAAAACGTGTTCTACAACTAGAGAGCATCTAAAAGAAGATGAAATGAAGCTTGGAAGGGATGATTTGCTGAGGGATGGATGGCTTCCTTTTATAGCACCATAGGTTGGTTGAAACTCCCCTCCATTTTAGGTGGAAAATGGTTGAGATTCACCTAACCACCTCACTTGAACTTGGACTCATGGTTTTGAACATGTGGGAAACGTCCTCCTTGCCCTTCATTAATCAAAACGTGCGTTTTGACAAATTGCCCTCTAAAAATGCGCCAGGCGCAATTCTGCGAAAGACAGAATTCTGTTATTTTCTTCCAATTTTGACCGCATTTATCTCATATTTTTCGTAAAGTACCATAGTTTGACTTTTATGCATAAATAATCTATGTATGTTCTACTTTAAGAATATGTGGTCTTTTTTGCCAAATAATAATAGGAAATGGGTAAAAAACGTGGTCAAACAGGGCTACCGACACATGTTTCTGCAGTAAAAAGTCAACCCTAACACACCCCCAAACTTAGCCATTTGCTTGTCCTCGAGCAAAAACAACAACAACAAATCTAAAACAATCAACATGCTAGAAATATGAATGATCAACAATCCAAATGTTCTAAGTAAATGAATCATATAAGTCTCAGGAAAGGCTCCACAAGCTAAACGTCCTAACTTTACTATCAGGCCAACAACCATAAACCATCCTTTGTTTTGAAAATAAAAAAAAATTCTAAATCTTCTTCTTTTCTAAAACACAAAACTCTTTTACAAAACCATGGAATATGCACACTTCTGTTTTGATTCAAAAATTTTAACATTAAGTGGACCGGCTACTAGCCCCTGAGGTTTTCAACACACTAACATCAATTTCAAACCACAACCACTCATAGAAACTTGTTAGGTAGCAACCCGGCATAAAATGATGTCGACAATGGTTTTCGCGAAGTCACCTTAATATGTAGGCTACCACCCTCCAAGATGCTAATGCCACTCATTTTAAGAAAATGAATGTCTATAGTGGGACTCGTGAAAAAGTAAGTGCGTTTTCGTTCCTCTCATGTTTCTTACCACTGTTTTCTTACTCTCACTTTTATTTTTCTTTCCCCCACTCTTATATTCACTCACGACACTTTTTTGACTTGCTTTTCTTGTTTTGTACTCTTTTTCATACTCTTTCTTTCGAAAAAAATTTTCTTGCATATGACTCTTTTATTGCTTGCATTTTCTTTCTTGACTCTTTTTCCAAAACATAAAATGCATTTTCTTTCTTAAAACAAAAAGACACACACCGTCCCCCCCAAACTTAAGGGAAACAGTGTCCTCACTGGGGAAAGAAATTTTGAGAGATGCAAAATTTTGGCACAAAAAGGACAAGGACTTCCAAAGCAATGAAAAACTTGAGGCTTCAAAACAAAAAGAAGCAGAACACAGTTTTATAATCAAAACAAAAAGAATGGAAAATGACTCATGGCTTGATCATAAAACTAGGAAATCTAACCTATTCATGCCTTTAAGAATCCTCATCGACAAGATACAAAAACAAAGAACAAAGGAAAGCATTTCATTAAAAAGATGAACATGTTGATAGTCTTAGAAAAGATGCATTAAAGAAGCTAAGGACAAGCTAGTAGCTAGAACAAGGAAGCATGCAAGCTTGAACTTTAAACAGATGCAAAAACACAACATGTATACCTTCCTAACAGCACAACATCCCAACACTAACCTACAACTCAAAAACTAAGCGTAAGCAACCTATCATGCAAACTAAAAGAACAAAAACAACCTACACAACCTAACATGCAGACTAAACTAAACAATCTAACATACAAAATTAGGATCCATATATTAAAACAAAGGGAGGAAGATACTCCTCTATTCATCATCGGAAGACTCATCATCGTTGGAATCGGTAGGAAGACGAGAAGAAGATGGTAAATCGGCCGCCAGCTCATCGGGGAAAGAAGGTGCTTCATCACCGTATATCTTCTTGAGGAAAGCACATGTAGCACGTTGAGTAACTAACAAAAGCTCATACTTGTGCCTAAGCTCGTCATACTGCTCCCTAGTCACCACCCCTCGGGTCTCGGGATCCGCAGCGGTAATGGGAGAATCTTCCTCTCGAACAATGGAATACCCCCGAACTTTTCTTAGGGATCTGAACGGCTTCTTGGGCATCACAACATTGGCATCAGCGGCCTCCACTCCCGCCTGCAAGCATAACTCAGTTATTAATCCAGGAAAAAGAAGTGGACCTACCAATTTCTCCGAGCAACTCTGTATCTCGTTCCTTATGAGTTCCCCAAAGTTGAACTCAACGCCCTTCACAAGAATGTACACTATCATCGCCCTATTGCGCTTAATGGAGGAATCGTAAGAAGTGGGTATCAACCGATTCTTCACCACATACATCCAAACTGTCGCTTGCTCATTAATGTCAAGGGGCTTTAAGGAAAGCTTCCCCATGGTTGAGATGGTCCATGTCTTATGCGGTCTACAAATAAGCCTACGCGCCTCCTCCACTTGCTCGTCCGATGGATGCACCAAAATCTCATTACCTATGGCATTACAAACATCCAACAAACCATAGTGAGTATTAATAATGGAAGGCGAGAATTTTACCACTTTACCCCTTACTCTCACTTCATCCCCTCGGTTGGGATTGATGGCAGTGTAAAACTCTTTCACCAAGGCCTCTGATACACGTGTAATGGGGGCAAACAATGTCTCCCAACCATTCTCCACAATCCTCTTCCTAACATATTCCGGCACCGGCTCTTGGGCTTCATCAAAACCTCTCTCAAGGAGGATATCACGTGTCGTGAAGGTCGGTCTCCTCACCTCCAATCTTACCCTTTTTACTCTTGATGGTGTTTGTTCGGTAGAATCGGGCTCCTCTTCGTTGGCCTCCTCAAGTGGCTCTTCTGCCACTCTTTGCACCCTAGCCGTCTTGGCTTTTTTAGATGGACCAGCCTCGGCTTCTTTTTGAGCAGCCAAACGTGCTACAGCGGTGCGGGTCCTAGGCCTAGAAACTGCGCCTGGCGCAATTTCTACCACTTTTTTCTTCTTTTGTGTTTTCTTTACCACTTTGGTTAAACTCACCTCCTCATCTGATGTTTCTGTAGTAGCAACAAAATTTTGGTCAGAAACATTCAAACTAGACAAAGAAGGGGTCTTACCTTGTGAAGAAGAGGAAGATGATTCCTCCATGGCCTCACTAGGGACATCCACAGGACCAGATGTTCCTTCTTGCTCTTTTGTAGGGGGCTCCTCATCAACTTGCTGAGATTCGTGCACCGGAGTTCGTACTTTCACTTCATATTGAGAGATATCGTCATTGTCTTCCTCGTCCTCAAACTCATCTCCATGCACTTCTTGGGGTAATTCTCCAAAATCTTCATCTTCTCTATCAACATTCAATTGTTCTT